GAATGACGAGTTTAATGCGTGTGACTAATCCTTCGCGTCCTGTTGGTTATCTACAGGTGAGACTGGCCAGTTGCTAAAACACGAAAGTACGTAAATGAAGGTGGCTAGTAAGTAGATTAGTTACTCCTTTCTATACCCGTCTTCACTGCTCAAAGTTATAAGACTGGCTGTCGACTGCCTCTGCTCTGTCTGGTCATAGTCAGGAGTTAACTTGGGGAATTACTTCTCCTATCTAGGTCGGTACGTAACTAATGCCTGTAGTACCATCGGGAGGTGGTCCCAAGCTGACACAAGACTCAAGCATGATACACTAGACATTTGGCGTCGACGGGAGGTTTCATTGAAGCTGAAAAATCCCGTCTGCCCTGCGGCAATACTGTCAGCTCAGCTTTGCAGTTATGAGATCCCAAATCCGTCCGTCGACTAGGTAGGAGGTATTCGATCAATTGGTGTTTGCCTAGTTTGGCGCAGCTGGGATGGAGCAAACGGGTCAACAGCCTCGAGGTAAACCGCTGTGTAGTTGTAGTTGTATAGGTGGATAAATCACTGCCACACCCGATTCGGACAAATAGTCCATCTAGGTCACACGGATTATGCTGGGCCCGATGACACTGTTTACCGCACCCGGGGTGGAGAAAATCACGTGAATGTCAACTCATTGATGTCGAGATGAGACATGGAGAGTCACACATGTGTCCGGCAATTATTTGCAACTCCGTCCAATGCATCCTCTCGGTCGATATTCACATCAATGTTTTCGATGCTCATTTATGCTGCTAGCACTCAGGCAAGGTGGAACTTTCCATGAAAGGTAAAAAACGCAAGTGCCATCCAAACTTTACTGGAGAGATTCTGAAATTCATGTTACAAGTACACTTGTTGCTGAACTGTCCTCTTCGCAACATGTAGCTTAACCTCAAATCACTTTTCTCGCGGATGACCTCAGTGCGGTTTTGTATTGTTCGCAACCATTAGCCGAATAGCGTAATGTGTCAGTGGTTCAGTCACACTCTGCAAGTGTGTACTATTCAAAACCTAGGTTAAAAAGTGTTCTGTGGAACGCTGTCTGCGGTAAAGTGAAACAACTGTAGTAAGTGGGCTAACCCAGTCGATTTCAATTGGACACGATCAGAAAGCTTTGACTTGCGTGTGTGTTTCAAGAGGTCCATCTCCTCTTAGGAGGCAGACCGTTCACACGTGGTCCTTGTTGTATTAGACCATCCCTGAGCGGATTATCTCTGGTCAGAGATAACAAACGAGTCACGTGATCAGAGCGCTCTGTTTGAACTTGTGGGTCATCGATTTTCCAAGGCTAGTCATAATGCACGTACGACAAATCGATAGGACATATTGGGATTGGTCAATACTCGTGAAGTTCATTTAATGAACCGTCACGTGTGACCTGATGCGAGAAGGCTGCTATCAGTTTCATAACTTGATGTGATCTTGTTTGAAATGTCGATACAATTCTACGATGCAGCCCTATTGACAGATCGGAAGTCGTTCTGGTTATTTAGAAACTATTGCGGATGCAATATGGGTTAGATAGCGTTTTAAAGTTTAATTTCATCCATTTTGATTATCTCTGTGAATTATGAACTAACTTTTTACTAACCAGTAATCTCGTTACACCTGTTCAAGTTCCCTTTGTGTATTCGGACGCCTGTCGAAGCATATGATGCTGCCGTTCAAACAACGTGATCGACCTCAGGAACACTTGCCAGTACAAAATCTCGTTTTATGCTTTTTATCGGTATTTTTTCAATCTGATTCCAGTGAGAAACCATTTAGTGGGATGCGAAATCCTCAATGTTGATTGTGCGCTTGAGAAATACCGACGACGGTCAGCAGTTTGCTCTCTTTACCCACCGAAGTGAAGTCTAAGCTTTAATAACAGTCAGTCTGCTTAACTACTCAATATCCCGGTTACAATCATCATCATATTACTTTGGCATATTTGTGCCGAAAAGTACTGCTCCGGAAAAGAAACGAATTGCATCCAGTCTCCCAGTGCGTTTTCTGACACTTGAACAACGTCACAACGTGTCCGAGCACAGACAAATCCAAATTGACGAATGCATCAGTATGCAACTGCGACCGTATCATCATCATAATACAGCGAGATACAGTGAAGCGAACTTCACTGATCGTTGCCAAGCTCACAATGTACACAAATCAAGTGATAAAGCACAAGATGGAGAGGGATTGAGCCTTATTGGAGGGAGGCAAAGAAAAAGAACCTGTATGATCAACACACGGAGTACACAATAGAACTTTGTATACATACCGTTTCAAGCGTTCTGACCTGATAAGAAATGACAAAAAGAACACCACTGCTGTCGGTTAGTCGCCATATCCTTCAGTGTCTCCAGCCAGCCAATTGCAGAGTCTTTCGGATCCCA